CCAGACTGGACCAGTGATATCTGGACTGTAGGGGTACAGTGTGACCCAGACTGACCAGAGATCTCTGGGTACAAGAAAAATACCTTTAGCTAAATGTAATGAAGTTTGTAAGTCAACACAGCTGTTACTCATTATGGTATCCAAACTGAGAATGACAACTGACAAAGAGTGTCAATTTTTTTGTCATTTTATTGTTTTATATGAATGATAAAGAATTATTAATAATAAAGTATTCACAGCGAATGATATATCTAGGGAGGCTTACAGAGTGTGTGCTGGCAGGCTGTCATGAAGGCTCGTCCTGTCGTGCTGCTGGCGGGGAGCGAGAGGCAGAGTCCTGTGCGCTGCGAAGAGCTCGTTGCCGTGTGTGGGGGTGCCGGCACCCCAAGGGCAAGGTGTTCCCTGCTGGGCAGCCAGGGACCTGACTCCAGCCAGCAGGGGGCGACGTCTCTGGGCACAGCGCTGCCGGTGGCTCTCAGGGTCTCGGTGAATGAAGGCCGGTGAGACCTGCACCCTCCTGCGCGGGAGGTGGGGGCGCCCCCTGCGCTCATGAAGATCTGGGGCACCCCGGGGTGGGGGGAGTTAAGTTTCAGGGCTGGTGTGGCGTGAGCTGAACAGGGTCCCATGCACAGCATCGCTGACCATTAGGGGGCGCTATATATGGTCCAAGGCAGCTTGTGCCCAGCCTGTGCTGGGGGCCACTATTTGCCAGGGGCCCCGGCCTTCCCACAGCGCTGCCGGGACAGGCGGCTCCTCGGATGCAGCCCGCCCTCACACGGCGTTCAGAGAGAGGAAGGAGCTAAAGCCCACTCGGCCCCGCAGTGATCCAGGGGTCAGAGAGGGGTCACAGCCGCGACAGGACGGGGAGAGAGAGAGGGGACACACACAAACACTCATCCCACCAGCAGTGACGAGCTCGGCTTTCTCTCAGTCCAGGTACTTCTCCGCTCTCAGGATCTGACAGTACATCAGCAGAGAGAAGCCCAGAGCCAGCACCTGCAACACAGACCGACAGACTGACTGCTGGCCAGAGCACAGGGGGCCACCGACAGACACAGCTGCACTGACAGGGACAGACAGAGACAGACACAGGAACACTGACAGGGACAGACAGAGACAGACACAGGAGCAGCTGCACTGACAGGGACAGACAGAGACAGACACAGGAGCACTGACAGGGACAGACAGAGACAGACACAGGAGCAGCTGCACTGACACTGACAGACAGAGACAGACACAGGAGCAGCTGCACTGACAGGGACAGACACAGGAGCAGCTGCACTGACAGACACATTCGGAGTTACCTGTACAATTCCGATACAGATCACGAAGACCAGGACAGGCTTGTTATTCTTCACCAGCCAGTCTTTTGCCTTCTGATAGCAGGCCTGAGCAAGACAGAGAAGGTGAGAAAAGCCCTGAGCAAAGAGCACCAGCCCCAGTTCTGCCAGACCCCCCTCTCATTGAGCCCCTGTCCTGAGACACAGACCCCAGCGAGCTGCAGACCTGCTGCCCCGCCCCGTCACCCATGACAACAGGGACCCCAAACAGCTCCAGACCTGCTGCCCAGTCACCCCAGACGAGAGAGACCCCAGCGAGCCCCAGATCTGCTGCCCCACCCCATCACCCCTGACGACAGGGACCCCAGCGAGCTCCAGACCTGCTGCCCCGCCCCCCCTTCACCCCTGACGACAGGGACCCCAGCGAGCTCCAGACCTGCTGCCCCGCCCCCCCGTCACCCCCGGCAGCCTCACCTCGTCCCAGCCGTCCAGACAGGGGTCAGCATCTCCGCGGCAGCAGGAGGGTGGCAGGGTGCTGTTCAGGACGGGGTGCCAGTCGGTCTTGTTGGACACCCCGCAGCACTTCAGCTGGAACAGAGCACAGACAGCGTGAGCGCCCCACACGGCCAGGACGAGGGGCCGCTGCCTCTGTCTCCAGCCTCCTCCTCACCATCTTCTGGACGTTGTCCCACGACCCTTTCAGCCCCTCGTTGTGTTTGTACTCCTTCATCCCCTCCTTCAGCTCGTCCTGCGCTTTCCTGTCCAGCTGAGAGACGGACAGGCAGATGGACACAGGTGAGCAGAGAGGGAACCAGTAAAGGGACAGACAGACAGACCTGGTCTCTGTAGATCTGCAGTGAGACAGACAGAGAGACAGACAGACAGACCTGGTCTCTGTAGATCTGCAGTGAGACAG